TTTTTTTTTTTTTTGTCAGCCTATTTAAAATAATACAGAGTGGACTTTTGCATTTCCTAAGCACTTTCATGCATACCAAACTTTTGTATTATTTTAAAATATGTGGTGGTCTTTACTTTCCCACTTATATAATGGATATTTACTGATCCTACAAAAGTGACCCCCCCAAAATAAATAAATAACACACTCTGACTTCTATTTCTATTTAGGTTTCTGGTGGTTCATTTAATGGATTCACCCAGGTAAGGAATCAGTTTTCTAGGAGGATCTATCTGCTGAGAATGATGCAAGTTTTCTTAAAGTGGGTCTCTGTGCGGGCTGGCCCGGTGGCACATTGCTACAGTGCGCCGCTTGGGAGCGTGGTGGCGCTCCTGCCGAGGGTTCGGATCCCACATACAGACCGGTTCCCGCTCACTGGCTGAGCGATGTGTGGGGGCAACACTGAGGGTTGCGATCCCGTTGCCGGTCCCGGTCCGGTGTGGGCGCGACACTGAGGGTTGTGATCCGTTGCCAGACACGAAAAAAGACAAAAGGGGAAAAAAAAAAAAGTGGGTCTCTGTGCCACTGGCATAGCATAAAGATTGAGAGTGTTGACACAGTATTGGACCCCACTACTTACAAATCGAGAAACAGACACAGAACAGTAGCAGCTGTGGAGGACGATTGTGAAGATTAAATGTGACGGATGCGCAGAGCGCTTAGCCCAGCAGCCTAGCACCACTACGTGCTGCGTGACTTTAATGAGCTATTATTAATGTTATTGGCTATAGCACGGGCTTCTCCTTTCTGCTCATTCCTCTGCTGGAAATTAGAAGTTGTCCTGATTTGAGAGACCTAGTAGATTCAGCTGTTAGAAAAGAGGAGCGGGGTTGTTCTGAATTAATGAGATGGATCTTCAGCAAATGTGAGCGGTTTAGCAGCTTCCTCCTAAAGATTCATAGAGGAGCCATACTCCGCAGAGCCTTACCTCTGCAGGGGTTCTCCAGAAAGGAGTCAGTGGAAGATCAGAAACCATACATTGGCTCTGTCCAATAAGACAGTATTTTCCTTGCAAGTGTGTGAAAGAGGAGCCACAAGGTGGACGGTCCCATTCGCTGTGTGTGTCCTGACAGATAGGCAGGTGGACCTGCGGAAAAGGCAGGTCACATAGCCATCAAACTCCTGGATTCAGTCCTGACAGCCTCGTCAAGGGGGACCTCGAACCAGCTCGTCTGAATGAAAGCTTTGTCTCAGAGTGTCAGACATGCACAGTGTCTAATAACTTTAGCATTTAGAATTCTCTATCATAGTATATTCATAAATAGATTTTTTATTTGACATCTCCATTATTTTTTCCTGTGTTACCTATAAAAAGATAAGACCCACTGCCACGCCTACACCCTGATACAGATACAGGCAGACACAGAGATGATAATGCACCTCTTTCATCTTCAGAAAACTCTTCTGGAAGGCTGGTGTCATGTTATAGGCATTGTCATCCATTTTTTTTCAAGTTTATATTTCTATTAGAATTATTAATGCATGTAATTTAAAGAGAAACAAGATTTTATAAGGGTTTTTATTTTAAAACGTCAGACTGTCCTGCAGCCCCTCCGCTCCTGTGTCGGAGGTCAGTCTTCTCGCCTCTCCTGACGGGTTTTCAGGTCCCCCACGTGTGCGTGGGTTTCTATAACGCTGCTTCTCGAGGTCTCCAGCGTCCCCACTGACCCCTCTCTGGAAGGTGAAGATGAAGCTACTTTCCCCTCCTGCCCTCCCCACAAGCCCCTCCCCTTCCTGGCCTTCCTCTGACAGTCATCGTCACAAGCACCTACCTCTGCTGACGATGTCATGGTGATGAAATGCAGTTGGTGTCAATCTTAATGTTATATGTCCTGTCCCGCCAGCTCTGTGCTGCCTTTGGGGTGGCAGTTGTGGGTCCCGTCAGGTCGCCCTTGGTTAGTTTGCTTGGTTTTCTCAGTGCTTGTGACTGACCCAGCCCCATAACCCACAGTTACATAAATCTTTCATTTGGTTGAAGATGGTGGACGTACAATCAGTTTTGTCTTCTTGAAGAAGCTACCATCTGTCCTCTGGATGCCGCCCTGCCTGGCCGCTGTCACAGGCTCTCCTGGGTGTCATCCTGGGGCCGCCTCCCTCTCTGTGTTCCCTCCAGTGTTCCCTAGTAGCACGTTTCCTCTTTTGTGGCTTCATCCCTCGCTTGGGTGCAGCACACCTTCCAGTGGCTTCCTGAGAGCAGTGTGCACGGGACGCATGTGCTTGTGACCTTGCACGTCTGTAAGTGTCTTTATCCCTGTACATGTGAGGGCCTGTTAGTCTGGACGTTGTAGTGGGAGTGTAGATGGTCTTCCGGGGAAGCTTCAGCCGTTACCCCACTCAGTTGTGCCCCCTGGTGTTGCCCCTGGGAAACCATCATTTTGTAAGAAACTCTCCTCCCCACTCCCTTTCTCCCTCTCTCTCTCCCCCACCCCTTTCTTCCTCCTTTTATCTCCCCTCTGGAACTTCCTAGAATCTTCTTTTAACCTCAGTATTTCTGAAATTTTACATGATGGGTCAGTTTTTATCCATTGTACTAGGCCCTTTTAATCTACAAATGTACATCTTTCGGTTTCAGGGATTTTTCTCTTTCTCTGCTTTCTAGCTCTTCCACCAGATTTTTTACTCCCATCATTTTTTCGGTTTCCAAGAGCTCTTTTTGTCTTCTGTGTGTTTCATGTTCCATAGCATCCTCTTCTTGTGCCGTGAATGCAGCATCTCCTATCACATCACTGTGCATATTAGTCATAACCATGGTTGAAGGTTTTTTTTTTCCTTGCAAAGTCTTTGTTTTCTTCCACTTGTTATTTTTTTTTAACGTATTTTCTATTGGTTTCTCCCTTTTATATTTGACACTTTTCTCGAATGTCCGAAGATCTTGGTTAAATACTCATATTTAAAAGTGGGCTGCTAGAAAGCTGACTGGAAACTGGCCAGGGAGGTGGAACTTATTGACTATGGGCACATGGCGGGACCTTTCAGCTCCTCTTTGCTGGGCAGGGCCTGATGAGAGGTTCTTTGGGCATCATTTTTCTTGAGCTGGTCAGTCCCCAGGGAGGACTCGTCTGGTCTCTGGTCTGGGGGCACAAGTGGGGCTGCCAGCGTAAGGGACGACAACGGGGAAGACACGGGGCAGGTGGGAGGAGAGGGCTGTGTGTTCTCAGTCTCCGTCATGTGAGTTCTCTCTGAATCCCGCCACTTCCCTGGTATCCCTGTGTGCCCGCAGTCCAGAGACCTGCTGTTTCAGCCTCTGAGCAATTAATCTCAGGTCTTCCGCTGGGGTAGAAAGGGACACTGCTTGCTGTTCAGAAGAGATGAGAGTGTCTTGAGCTCTAATTGCTTTTTCATAGACTTTCATCGGGTTCCCCTGACTCCTGTTTCCTGTGGTTCCCTAAGCTTCTAAGTCTTGATCCGTTGGGTTTTGAGGAACAAATTGGGTAGAAACTTGGCATTTCTAACATTGCCTTAGGATACAGACTTTTTGAATCCTTCAGGTCACTTACCTGCTCATTCGTCTGTTTTCCACCTTCAGCATTTTGTTGCTGTTTTCTGTCTTCCTGTTCTCTTCATCTTTACAGGCTTTTAAAAAACATTCCGTTTATCGTTGTTTAGTTTGGATTCTGGAGGTAACAGGGGTAACTGCACATGTTCAACTCAACACCTTTAACTGAAAGTCTCTGGCTCATCTTCTCTGTTGGGGAGCCCCCGATGTCAGATTTTTAGGCATTCCTTTTTTTCTTGAGCTGGTCAGTTTTCCCAGGGAGGACTCTGGTCTCCTGTGTGGGGGGACACAAGCCTGGCTCCAAGTGTGATGACAGAGAACTGTTCTGTTAGAGATCCCTGTTGTTCCAGCCTACATTTTTAGGTCAGCAAACATTTTATAAAATTCTTAACTTATGGCTCATAAACAACCCACAGAAGTCACAAGTGATGTAGTGAGATTAAATATGCAACATTTGGAGCCTATAGCCACTTCTAATTTGGTGTTAATGTGCCAACAGAAGCTGTGACCATGGGTGCCCCAAGGCTTGTGCCCTGTGTTCAGTGACTCTCATTCTTACTCTGTAGAAAATTTTTTTTTTCCTTTTTGTCTTTTTTACTGACTGGTGACGGGATCGCAACCCTCGGTGTTGCGCCCGTACCGGGGACTGGCAACGGGATCGCAACCCTCGGTGTTGCGCCCACACCGCGCTCAGCCAGTGAGCGGGAACTGGTCTCCACATGGGATCTGAAACCTTGGCAGGAGTGCCACCATGCTCCCAAGCGGCGCACTCTCCAGTGCGCCACCGGGCCGGCCCGC